CCCTCCCTCCCTCCCTCCCTCTCCCTCTCAGCATTGGCCTTAACAATTATTGATAAAAATGAGATTGCAGAAGTTTGGGCTTTTCAATACAAAAGGCAGCTAGAAGAGAATATTTGGTTTTCTTCGCCAAGAGAATCCAGAATCCTTTGCAACAGAAAGAATGCCAGCATAGATACAGCAGATAATTTGATGTGGAATCTCCGTAATACGCTCGTCCACTGTTTGTATTTCGTTGGGCAGTTGAAACTCGTGATAGGCTTCTGCCTGGATGTAGAAGGAAGTATAACGATGACGATGTTGCCCCTTTATTTTTTTTTCTAATATGCTTCGAATTATTGCTGTGTTCTCTCTTTCATCCCTCTTCTCCTCCTCCTGACATTTGCCAAATAGCATGATGTGAGGCTAAAAGACAAAGTGATGGCTGAAGAGAACTGAGACCATCTTCAGGTTGTCAGGAAAGACCATGCTGGGAAATAGCTACTGTGGGAGGGGAAGATGTCAAGAAAGTTAAGAGGGTGGCTGCAACCGTGCCATCAAAGCCTTGTTACTCTTTTACCTAATTCAGGACCCTCTGCGGGGAGTTAAATCAGTTGGTCCTGTCCCAAAGTTTTAGTCTAAATCCTTGCCAACAGCACAAAAGAAGAGGTCTTCCCACAGATTCCTCAGATGCTGCAGCCCCTGTTAGTCTGTGCCTTGTGCTGGGAGTTGAGAGAGACAACCAGGCTCCGTCTCGTGCAATGTTGCACTTTCCACTTTGAAGGCCATCGGCCCTCTATTCTAACACAAACGGTACATCGGTAACAGGAGACTTTTCTGATCATCAGAGACTTGAGGTGCCGCATCCCCATTGCTGGAGCAACATAGGGACAAGGCTATAACTGCTTCCCAGGCCGTTAGTTGTTAGCTGTATGCCAGAGCTGTGGGGATTGCAGGCAAATGAACAGGATGTGCAGGCAAATTTTCTTGGAGAGAAGAAAGAAGGGAAGAGAATGTACCTCTGAAATGCATACAGAACAACCCTCTCCATCTTGGTGCCCTGTCTTAATACTTGGTGGCCTACTGGCTGCTTGAGGGAACCTTCAGGCACAGGCACTGTCGTCTCCAATGAGGGAAATAGGGTGGGATTCCAGGAGAGAGGAAGTGAGGGATTCTTTGATTCTTGGAGAGTTTTGGCTGGGTGCCCCTTCCCCAGGACACAGGAATCTGAAGAAAGGAGATTCCATGAGACAAGGCCCGATGATGTGAGGCCAAAGCCTAGAAAACCCTGGAAGAATGGGACCTAGTAAAGTAAAGTTATGGAATATTTATTTAGTTGCATTAAGAATTATTTCACTTCTGTCCAATGCCACACGCTTGATTTTGAGTGACCCACTTCAATCTTTTTTCTTTGTTCCTGGTTTGCTTCAACCAATTACAGATTACAGGTAGTTCTCAATTTACAACTGCAATTGGGACCGGAACTTCTGTCGTTAAGTGATGTGGCTGTTAAGTGAGTCATGCCCGATTTTACAACCTTTTTTGCTGCAATAGTTAAGTGAATCACATGGTCATTAAGCGAATCCAGCTTCCCCCATTGACTTTGCTTGTTGGAAGACCCCTGGGAAGGTCGCAAATAGCAATCACATGATCCAGCATGCTGCAACTGTCGTAAATACATGCCGGTTGCCAAGTGCCTGAGTTTTGATCATGTGACAGCAGGGATTCTGTGATGGTCGTAAGCACGAGGATTGGTTGTAAGTCACTTTTTTCAGCGCAGTCATAACTTTGAAAGGACGTTAAACAAATAGTCATAAGTTGAGGACTACCTGTAGTGAGTGGAATACAAACCTATTCAGTTTCGTGTAATTGGTAGTTGCTGAACTATTTTTTCAGATAACACCCACTTTGTTGCTTTTATTTCAAATAAAAATCCTTCTTTTCTTGAGTATTCCAGTGTTGAGCCTCATAACTGGTTCAGAGGGGAAAATTGGAGCCAAACTGTTTGGTGGGCAACAGGAATTTTCCATTCAGTGCTAAGGTGAGGGAGTCTCACCTTGGGTAGACTATTTTACCTGGGGAAATAACCTCACTAAGCAATCCTGGGATTTGGGTATAGAGATGTTTGGATGAAGACCCCAGGAAAAGGTCTGGTAGGCTGGTGTAGGTGCTGGAATAGACCCTTCATACTTCCTTCCTACCCCTGCTACAGACATTAGCTCTCATAAAGCCTAGCCCTGAAGCAGACTGTGAGAGTTGAGTTCAATATAGCTAGATAGCATCAGGTTGGGAGTAGAGACAAGTAGAACATCTTAGATGATGACCATCAGGAAGTTGTTCATTGTGTTGATATATGTGATATAGATCTGTAATGTATATCCATTGGCAAATGGGGGTGTGATTTATTTTTGTCTCCATAAAAACAGATTGCACCCGTTTGCCAATGAATATCAATTATTTGTGTTATTCTCCAGAGATTCATTTATACAGAATTCCACTGATAAAAACTACCATTTTCTGATCGTGAACTATTGTTGCAAGTTGCCTATCCCACACAATTGAATTTAAGCAATTTCTTGTATGATCCACGGCCTTATGTCTTTTTAGTTCTACACTAATACTGGAAGATGTGCCAAATCTATATCGATTATAATAGCTTTTCTTGTTCACATAAGAGCTACTGTTTATGCCTTTGAGGCAGAAAATATATGAAGTACTTCAATCATTTTTAAAGTAATGTTAGCTATTGTGTTTCATTTACTAGCACAACCCTTTCATTTTCTGCTGGGTTGTCGGAATTTGCGAAGAGTTATTAAGATAACTTTAAAATCACTGGCCATGTAGATTCAGCACATGAGGAATTTCTTGCCAATCATAAGAAACATCTTTGCTGTCATATTTTTTTTCTCGACAGTAGAAAGACTCCAGATTCACTTCAAAATCTTATTTTGGACAAGATAGAGGGATGACTTTTTATAAAGTTGCTTTACCATCTTGATAAATAAGGGAAAGTATAAAATATTTGTGCACTAGAACTGCTCGGTCCTTTGGTCACTGAATCTTAAATATATCAAAGAATAACCCAGCTACATGGCAAGTAGCTTATCTTGACTGATCTCAAAAGGCTAAGAAAGGTCAATCCTACCTAATCTTTGAATGGGGGAATATCAGGAAATACCAAGGTTTTTGATCTTTATTTTTTACTAGACAACCTGTGACTCTGGGTCATAGTTTCAGAGATACTTCCTTACCTAAACAAAGAAACATAATGATCATGGGCAGGCAAAAAAAATAGTGGGAGCAGGAGCGACTTCCAACTTGCTGCCAGCCTCCCCATTGAATTTCCTTGTGGGAAGCTGGCAGGGAGTGTCAGAAATCTCCCTCCCTCCCTCCCATAATATAGGCTTGTGCCATCTGCCCTCCCCTCATGTCCCCCAGGAGAGCCTCGGTGAAGCCTCTTCCTCCTCCTCTGCTGACCTGTGGAACTCCCTGCCACGTTGCTGGGGGGAGGTGGAACAAAGGGAGCTGTGGACCATGAGGAAAACTGCACCCCTACTCCCCATTCTGGCATGTCCCCAAGGGCCCCTCCCTTGAGAGAGGCTTACCTGTCAACCACTGGTGCCCCCCAGCCAGCCCTACCTCACCAGCAGGCATCCAAGTCACTCCCTCATCCTTCCCTCAATGCCAACTGCTATCAAGAGATTTAAAATTTTGGCCTCGATTGCAAAGCAGCCAATTGCTCCTTGCCTGTCAGGCCTTGGCTGCCAGCCAGTTGGGCACAAGGGCCAGAGGGAGGGGGGAAAGAGGTTGGGGATACTCCCATGATGATCATGTGACCTGGGCTGACTGCAGCGGCATGGCAGTACAGCAGTGCTGAAGTGCCCATGAATTTCCCAAATTTCAATCCCAAGGGAGTCATGGGTCCCGGATTTTGGATGCATTCTGTAAGTTAGCCCATTTGAGGTACCTTGGTTCAAAAATTGTTGCCCTATGTTGCACAGTTTCACCCAGTTAAAGGGTACAGACAGAGTTTTCGTAGTATATAGATTTTTTTTTTTTTTGAGGCTGGGAGTGGAGTGTCTTGCAAATGCTTAAGTCATCCAGTTTGCCTCTTCAAACCCCAGAAGCTCCCCCTTCCTAAAATGGACTCTAGCCTTGCCCACTTTGGGAACATCTGGAGAACATCCTCAAGCCAATGGAAATTGCATACTCTTGGACCAAAGTGTGGTCTTGCTCTGCCAGGTCTTTAAAAGTCAGTATGTCTAAGCAGTTGGGCAGGAATACAGATGGCCATAAGGAAGAACCACACAATTTGACTGATCATCCTCAATTATATTCATGCTTTGTCATGAACTTCCTGATGCTCATCCCAAGAACTTCATACCTCTGTTCTTCTCTGACTGCAGCCTCCTGTTGTCATTGTAGCTGATTCATCCCACCAGCAACCTCATACTTGTCCTCTGAATTCACTCACTTCTTCCGCCCCCCCCCTTTCTCTTGCATTTCACTTAACCTCCACACAAATTGCAGAAATGGTTCAAAAGAAAA